AAAAATGTACCATTTGGCAGAAAATCGGAATATTTGACAAAAAAAAAGCAAAATTTGATTTTAATTGACAATGTTATAACAATGTTATGAAATGTTGTTACAATGATATTACATTGGTGGCAAAATGTAGAATTTTCATAAAAATGTACCATTTGGCAGAAAATCAGAATATTTGACAAAAAAAAGCAAAATTTGATTTTAATTGACAATGTTATAACAATGTTATGAAATGTTGTTACAATAATATTACATTGGTGGCAAAATGCGGAATTTTCATAAAAATGCACCATTTGACAAAAAAAAAGCAAAATTTGATTTAATTGACAATGTTATAACAATGTTACGAAATGTTACATTTTAGGTGTAATGTAGCATTTTCCCAAAATTTCATAAGATTTGCTAAATCGGACAATGTTGTAACAATGCTATTCCAAAAAATTGCTCAGTGTAATGTAGCATTTTCCACAATTTCCCACCATTTTCCAGGAAAATGGGGAATTTGCATTTTTTGAATTTTGGACAATGGTGCCCCTTCGACCTGTGCTATAAACTAAAGCTATACGTTTTATTTTCTAATAAATTGATTTTCTAAATAAAATTTTTCTAAAAACTAATTATTCTAAACATAAATTGATGCTTCAAAATATGATTTTGCCATTTGAGGTGAAATTTGACTACACGCAACTAATAATGCATATACAGGATCGTTACAAGCTTTCATAAAATCACGATTATGTCTAATCCATGATTTGATAGTTGAAAATGCAGTCTCAATGGGGTTAAAATCAGGAGAATAAGGTGGAAGAAAAACAACACGACATCCTAATCCCTCCAATAAAGCTACTAATTCATTATCATAATGGATTCTTGCATTGTCCATTACAATAACACTATTATCTCCTGGATATGGATTCATTGTTGGCACCTAAATAGTAATAAAATTATCAAAAAAATAATTCAAATTCTTGTAATTAGCACAATTATTACTTACTACTTGATTGAGAACAAAATCAACAAATTTTTTTCTATCACAAGATCCTTCAAATATATCAATACCAATAAATCCTTCCATTGTAAGTGCAGGTAAAATGGTATATCGTTTTTCCCGTATAAAAACTACTTTTTTTTAAGCAGGTGTATTTCTGGGAGAATAACCATATAAACGCGACAAACTTCTTTCATCTTTAGCACTTTCGTCAATAAAAATAAGTTGATTTCGGGTATAATGTTCACCAATTGTAGCTAAATAGTGTGCTCGTACAATTTCATTTCTTTCTAGTGCTGCTTTTTGCAACTTCATACAAGAAAAATTTTGAGAAAATTTTTGAGATAATTTACATCAATTATTTACAGCATATAATGTTTTACCTTTTTTCGAGTAATTCCTAAATATTGAAGCGACCTCCAGAGAGTTGCAATGGATGCTCTTTTTCCTATTAGACATTCCATTTCATATATCAATTCGTCTAAGTACCAGTCTACCTTTTCTCTGACAAGACCTCTAAGTATAGTCATGTCTCTTCTACTAAATAGTTTTCTTCGGCCAGGAACACCTTTGAAAGGATTTATAATACATGCCCAACGGTTATATCTCTTTTTTATTTTATTTACAACACCTTTACTCATATGCAACGTATTGGCAATATCCATAGTTGACAAACCATCGGTATAAAGGTAAACTATACGCCAGTACAAATCTTTACTGAATTCTCGAGGCATAGTTGAGCTTACCTATAAAGAGTAAACACTTTTATTTACAAATTATATTTATAATTATTGTAATCGTTTGGAATTTGTGGAATCGGAACACGTCAGTTTATATACTACCGTCAAAACGAACGCGATCACGATAAAAAATTATATCAGAGGTGATGCAACAGTGGCTTAGCATTACGGAGATCAATTAATATTTAATTTTTATATGTGCACGTGATGGTTATTTTTGTAATTCTGAGATCAATATTTTTATTTAAATAGTAAAATATGGCCAATCACACTAATTCGAAAACGGCGATAACACTGGTAAAAAAATGATTTATCCTACACATATCTTACACATATTGGGTACTTAAAATGTAGAAAATCATACACAAATAATACACATATCATACACATATCGGGTACTAATATATATATCATACATATATCTGGTACCTGATAGGTATACTATATATATAAGTACCCGATATGTGTATGATATGTGTATTATTTGTGTATGATTTTCTACATTTTGAGTACCCGATATATGTAAGATATGTGTNCCCGATATGTGTATGATATGTGTATTATTTGTGTATGATTTTCTACATTTTGAGTACCCGATATATGTAAGATATGTGTAGGATATGTGTAGGATAGACCATTTTTTTACCAGTGTAAGTTGAGCAAAAATAGCATCACGTTCTTTGTAATGAATAGAATGATAAGGAGGAATATAAACAGAAATAATAGAAATTTTTTTTTGATGAAAAAAAAGATCTATTTTTAATATACGACCTTTCCAAGGATCGATCTTCTGAACATGTTTATGTAAAGGATGGTGAAGTAAAAGACCAACACCATCATGTGGTCGTGAATTAGAAAGGGAAGGAGCCCAATAGGACTTAAAATTATATAGGGAATGTTCATTTTGATAAATAAATTTAGCATCAGAAGAAGTAAGGCGAGTATCATTTAAAGATAAAATGCTGAAAGAAGAATGGAGAAAATAATTTAACAAATGCAATTGTCAAACAGGAGAACACAAACCATTAACATTGATTTGTCCAAAATTAATAAGAGGGGAAGAAGGAGAAAAACGATTATTAGGATTATTAAAATTAGGTATCGCACTATTAGGGGTGAAATCCCTGTGATGCACCTGATATAAATTGGTGTTCAATCATTGGAAGAGGAGGGTTTTGAAGGAGAGAATGAGTCCAATTTTTCCATAATCGAACCATGTTGGGTAGAAAGATTCTTTTGTGTATTAGTAACATTAAAAATTTCCGATTGTAGACGGGAAGCATTAGCATCAGGGGCAATAATAGTAGGTCAAGAATTAGATAAGAGAACATGTCATCTTGATAGAACGGAGTTAGGATCTAAAGCTGAAAAGGAAGCATCTGGGGAAGTGTTCATAAGAGAAGGTGAAGTATGAGGAGGAAGATTGAATCCTAAATTCGTGTCATGGGCAGAGGCATCATCCCATCCATTATCATAAGAATGAATTTCTTGATTATCATGAGATGGATACATATCTGAGTCACCAGGATTATTGTTATCATAATTCATCATTGATTCGAGCTCAGATATTCTATAATCATGATGCGTGATAGTATTCTGCATCCAGAAAAGAGTTTCATTGAGAGATTTGAGGGTAGTAGCAATCTCTTTGATTTGCGTCTTTAACTCATCAATGATATGTTGAGGAAGTATATAGGCAGAATTGTCAGAAGAAGAGATATGTGTAGAACTATTAAGATGAGGTTCTGGTGGAGGTTAAATAGTATCAGAAGAAAAACCATTGTTACTGGGAATGTTATTGTTATTATTGTTGTTGGTACGGTTGTTACTACGAGAAGTATCAGGACGAGAATTATTAGTACGGTTATTACTGGTATTAGATCGGGATGAAGAAGAATAATTGCGGAATCTGGAATTAGATCGTGATCTTGAACAGGAATTGGATTTATCATGTGATTGGTGTGAATCCTGATGAGGACCAGCATTGAAGCGTGAATATAGTTTGTTAAGGCGATCGTCCACTTTTCGTGTAGAATGAGGATTACAAACAGAAGGTGAACAACCAGGACGCCCACAAACATGGCATAAAGTATGTGCTTCATTGGGAGGGTGCCACGTCAACCCTTTGCCACGAAAAGCTACGGTCATTTCTTTTGCAGCCTCAAGAGTGTCAAATGAAGAGAAATTCAAGTATGCATAGAGTTTAGGCTTGTAAGAGTTAATAGATAGTGGAACGTTAAGGGCTTTAGCATTAACTTGATCAGCAATTTCTAGAAGGTCGGCCTCTTTAATATTTTTTGGAATGCCGGCAAGGATAGCGACATGTTCTTTATGGCTGTCACGTTGGGATTTCAAGAAAGATGCCGGGCAGACACGTAAAGAATTACCAAGGCAAATGATCGCCCAAATATCATTAAATTGGGTAATTGCATCCGCGGAGGAAAATTGGATATGACCATTGTAATAGTGTTTTTTAGGGGTGAGTTTGTATTTAATCACAGTGCCATATCGGGAAAATGCCTGGCGGACTTGCGTCTCATTCAAGAAAAGTGGAATGTCGGTAATAAACAAAGACTTTGCTTTGTCATTGAGTTTGGCATTTGCAGGGGAATAATGAGTAAAGGCTAAATTGAAAAGATCAGCACGTGGGGAGCTGACATAATCGGTATAATCATGCTGATCATTAAAGAAGACAAAGATCATTTTATTATCACCTGATCCAACGCAATATGCGCGGGCGCCATAAGAAGGATATCAAGAGAGTAAACAATCCACTTCGTTACACATAGAACGATTGGTGATGAATTTAGCTTTGAACGCGTCAGGCGCATCACGTAGGTAGGCCTAAAGCTCTAAATGGTCCGGATTGGTCCGGATTAAAGGGTAATCTGGGACCAGACCAAAAAATTATTTCATTTCGGTCTGATCCGGGTTATATTAAAAAGATAATCCGGGACCAGACCGAACCAGACCAAAATAACTGGTCCGGTTCGGTCCGGTCCTTTAAATAAAGATTAAATATTAGAAAAATTCTTACGAACTTTTCTTAATATTATCTATTTTTTTTTAATGTACAATTTTAAACATAATTTAATTTATTATTTACTAAAAAAATTCGTTTTTATGTCATTTTTTTTTTAATTATTATATTACTTTCTTAATTATTTATTAAATTTGAAATTATTTAATATTTACAGTCTAAGGTTGCCTGCCGAAACTGAAACCGAAATCTGGAATGCTTTCCGAAATTGCCGAAACTATTATTAAGCAAAAAAAAGAAACATTGAAAGGTTTCTTGATAAAAAAATTAATCATAAATAAAACTCCCATTACCTATATTTTCATCCAGCAACCCTATGAAAAGAAATGGAAAATGTTAGTAACGGTTCTTAAAAAAATAACGAATCCCCTCCCTCTCAGTTCCTCTTTACCTCATTTCAGTTTTTTCGTCCGGAAAATCTACAAAAAAGCAAAAATAATAAATTAGTTAAAATTTAAAAAAAACATTAAAAATATAACGAAGTCACTATACCTCGCTCAATTTCAAAAGTCCGGTTGTGCTTTTCGTTCGGAAACTCTACAAAAAAGAGAAAAATAATAAACTAGTTAAAATTTTAAAAAATACATTAAAAATATTACGAGTCCTCATACCTTCGCTCCATTTCAAAAGTCCGGTCATGTTTTTCGTCCAGAAACTCTAAAAAAAGAAAAAAAATAACAAATTAGTTAATTTTAACAAATATTAAAATATAACGAAGTCACCATACCTCGCTCAATTTCAAAAGTCCGGTTGTGTTTTTTGTCCGGAAACTCTGCAAAAGAGAAAAAAAAAACAAATTAGTTAAATTTTTAGGAACAAATTAAAATATAACGATAGTTCCCATACCTCGCTCAATTTCAAAAGTCCAGTAGTTTATTTTCGTCAGAAACCCTACAAAATAGAAAAAAAAAACAAATTAATTAAATTTTTAAAATATAACGAAACCTGATCTATACCTTGCTTAATACCAAAAATCCGGTCGCAATTTTATTCAGAACTCTACAAAATAAATAAAAAAATGCGAGTTTACATTAGAAAAAGTTGCCCAGAAAAGAAAAAAAAGATTGTCAGTTGTACTGCGCAATCTGATTTCTGATAATCTTAAAATTTTATTTACCGGGAGAAAAAGAAATTTTTTAATATTTTTTTTTAATAATATTAGTATTTAGTTAAGTATAATTTGATTTATATTTTATACTAATATTATATTAAATAAAATTTATAATTTCGGCCAAATTTCGGCCTTTCGGCAAGAATTTCAGCATTATAAGTTTTGGCAAATTTATTTTTAATTGCCGAAACTTTCAGCAACATAAAAGTTTCGGCCTTAATTTACATTTATATAATAATCGCATAACAGAAATACAGAAATTAAAAGTAAATAAATTCAAAATTAATTTGTTATTTTTAATTATTATGACGCCACCAGCTTTTTAAACACATGCAAACTCTGATAGTTTCTGGTGATAAACTGCATCTTCTATGAGAAACTAGGTCAGTACCACCAGAAAATACACGTTCCACTGGTACACTTGTGCCTATTTTATATAATTAAATTTTAGTAAATTAACCATATTTACAATCAATTTGACCTAAGCTATTAATTATTAAAATATACCTGGCACCGCTAAATAATCTCTGGCCATTTTGGCCAAATTTGGAAATTCTTTTTCGTGAAGCTATACAATTATATAAAAACAATAATTAATAATTAATAAAAATAATTTAATTAATTGTATTATTATAATTTAAAATAAAAAAATGATTACCTTCCAATATAACAAAGTATCTGTTTCAATATTTGCTGGCGGACTACTCAAGTAATTATCAAGTTCATCGGATTGTACAAATTTGCGTTTTTTGTATATATGATTTGCAAGTATATTTGTTTTACTGGGTGGATTAACGCTAGCTACTTGAGTTGACATATAATTTTTTTTCCATAATTCAATTA